AATAAGGAAACTACTCGTATTTATGCGATCGAGGAGTCAGTTTGAGTCGGCGAGGTATGATATATGATAACATTGATCAACTTTCGGTTTGTCCTGTTCGGTGTACCGATGAAACCATGCATAATATTGGCGAGTAAAATGTAAAATGGCAGAGTCAAAAGTGTCAGTGTCCGATGTCCATGAACTTGGCGAAAAAAAGAGCGTATAGCTCTGACCCAACAGGTTAGGTCAATAACTAAAGGAGAGGTCTTTGCTTCAGGCCAAACAAAAAATCCAGGAGCTGTCAGAGGAAAAAAAGGAAAAAAGGTTCCAACATGCTGGCTTTTACAGGTGTGTCCACTGATGCACTTTTTGCTGGGAAAAGGCGAGGTTTAAGATGGCGTCAGGTGACCTTGGATGACTTTGGATGATCCTGATGCATACAGTGGCTGTATATGTTTGCAAGCGTAGGAGCTGATCACCAATCCAATATTCATTTTGAATTATGACTTTTTATAGATTTTGAAGGCTCAATTGATTCTCATGCAGCATAAATCCCCTTTTCAACGTGCTGGAACACGCAGTACAATTTATTGTGGCTCAAGGATGCATCTGAATACTCCAAAATGAAAAAGCCAACAAAACTGTTTTTAAGTTACCTTTGTCATATTTCAAATATCAATCTTAAACATTTTCAAACCTTTTCTCCAAAACATCCTAAAATAAAATAAAATGAACGACCGATGTGATAAGAGAAGAAAAAATCACTTGTAAGGGCTCATCCTGCGAAATATATTGAGAAAAAAACATTGCTGAAACGTTTTAACTGCGCCAGTTGCAAGGATTATTGAACAATTTGATTATTGAAGGATTTTAACCCTAGAACGCCTAGGGGGGGGGGGGGGTTGTATCAACCCCCCCTGAGGTTTTTTCGAAGTGCACGCTAAACGGCTTGTCGTAGCGGGCTGAAATTTTCAATACCCTCTGGGGCAACCTTTGCGCATCTTTTGCCGAAAAAAAATTGATCGGGTCATGTCAGGTCACGGAGTTATGACGTCATAAGAGGTACAGCCTCCGGCCGACAGTTACCAAACGTGTGCGCCGAATCCCTAGGTTTTCTGCCGGTGATACCCACATTGTTTGATGGATCATGATGAAACTTCCCATGCATGTTGGGGCAAGCATTGGCTATCGTGTGGTGCAAGAAAATTGACCGGGTCAGGTCAGGTCACGGAGCTATGACGTCACAAGAGGAACAGCGTCAGGTACTATTTTTGAAAAGCGCCCGAACCACTATTTTGCTAATTCTTGTCACCTCAATGGGAATATGCAGCAATATTAGCTTCTATAGGGAGCAAATGGACCTCCCAAATCCAAAAATACAATCAGATTTCAAAAATTTAAATTTTGATTTTTCGAATTTCTGCCGCCGACTGTGACCTTGCCGACTTCCGGCGCTCCCAACGCGCCATTTTTAGAGCTAGGGAAACGAAATACATACCAAACGATAGAAAATTGATCAAGGAACACGATAGTGAAGGTTTCAAGTCGATATCTCCCACCGTTTTGCCGCAATCGCCGCGGAAAGTTGAAAAAGTTTGATTTTTTCGGAAAATTTGACCTTTGACCGGTCATAAGTAGATCAAATGTTGACCTAGGACCAAAAAATATACCACCAATCGCGAGATCTCGTTGAGAGCAATCCGTTGGTTTTTTCCGCTAAGCTCTACGACCTTCCGTTTCGAAACGCCAGGGGGGGTCGTAACAACCCCCCCCCTGGTCGTTCGTGTTATGAGAAATGGCCTGGTCGTGCGAGGGTTAAGGATTATTGAATGCTAATACGTATACAATGGCCAGCTCCGTTTTGCATTAGAATCAAAATTCGTAAGGCCTACAAACTGCATCAAAAGTTTACCGAAATAAGCAGAAAATATTGAGCACAATAATGAAAATTGCTAAAATAAGAAACAGATACTTACCTATTGCATGGTAGGATTACAATTGGATAACTCATTTATGATCAAAAAATAGGTGAGATCCATAAGCAACGTAAATGCAAATTTCAATTCAAGCTATACAGCTGAACATCAAAGCGAAATTTGTTCGTGATATAGTTACATTTACTCTCTTATGTATATACGGTAACCGCTAAGTGTTTTCGTTTACACAGACCTCCTCGGTCGTTTTGAAGTAAAATAACTACTGACTTACCGTCTAGAATGTAGACGGTGACCGGAGAGCCAACTGGAGAGCCTACATAGTCACCTGCTTTTATACGGGGGCATTATCAACAACTGCACGTGATGTCCGATAAAGTGCAACAAAGACACGGCAGTTATCAATATCAGAGTCCAGAGAACATTCGGGAAGGTGCAATGTAATGCGCTTCAATCTCCCATGAAGTGGGCTAAGTCGTAAACAACGATCAATGCTAAACCAGAGTGTTCTGTCTGTCGAATGAGCTAATACATTCTGCATCTTTGCCGGATGCCGATAAGAATCATAAGAGGTGCCATAAGAAGAACTTTACAAAAAGTCGTATCTGAGTTCGTATTTTCATATTATGCTTCAAAAACACATGAGAGTTTGCATTATTTCAGTTGTTCTTCTGTGCCCGGACGGCATCGATGATATCAGACTTTCGTCGGGTTAGTTGACCCTCGCCCTGGCAGGGCATTTTTCATAACACGGCCTGGCAGGGTGGGTCGATGCGACCCCCCCCCTCGCGATTGGCTCCTATTTCACCTAGAAATACCAAATTTGGTAGGTAGGTGGGCCCCCTGGAGTTCTCGCCCATGTGCCAATTTGGTTGCTCTAGGTCAATATTTAGGGGGGGGGGTGGGGATATAAATGTAAAAAAATTCGCTAAAAACAGGTCAAAAGTTTTGCGCTTATAACTTTTGATCTAATGTAACATCTGTACAACTGTAATAATGCAAACTCTCATGTGTTTTTGAAGCATCGAACTCAGATACGACATTTTGTAAAGTTCTTCTTATGGCACCTCTTATGATTCTTATCGGCATCCGGCAGGAATGCATGATCTACTTCGACAGACAGAAACACCTTGGCTTAGCATTGATCGTTGTTTACGACTTGCCCACTTCATGGGAGATTGAAACGCATTACATTGCACCAAGGCCGTATATAGATTGCACCTCCCCGAATGTTCTCAGCTATTGATAACTGCCGTGTCTTTGTTGTACTTTATCGGACATCACGTGCAGTTGTTGATAGTGCCCCGTATAAAAGGAGGTGACTATGTAGGCTCTCCAGTTGGCTCTCCGGTCACCGTCTACATTCTAGACGGTAAGTCAGTAGTTATTTTACTTCAAAACGACCGAGAAGGTCTGTGTAAACGAAAACACTTAGCGGTTACCGTATATACATAAGAGAGTAAATGTAACTATATCACGAACAAATTTCGCTTTGATGTTCAGCTGTATAGCTTGAATTGAAATTTGCATTTACGGTGCTTATGGATCTCATGTAGTTTTTTATCATAAATGAGTTATCCAATTGTAATCTTACCATGCAATAAGTAGCTGTGTCTTATTTGAGCAATTTTTATTATTATGCTCAATATATTCTTATTATTTCAGCTAACTTTTGATGCAATTTGTAGGCCTTACGAATTATTATTCTAATGCAAAACAGAGCTGGCCATTGTATGCGTATTCTAGCATTCAATAATCATCCTTCAAAAATCAAATTGATCAATAATCCTTGCAACTGGCGCAGTTAAAACGTTTCAGCAATGTTTTTTCAATAATATGTCGCAGGATGAGCCTTTACAAGCGACTGTTTTTTTTTCTCTTATCACATCGGTCGCTCAATTTGTATTCTTTATTATTTTAGGATGTTTTGGAGAAAAAGTTTGGAAATGTTTAAGATTGATATTTGAAATATGACACCGATAACATAAAAACATGTTTGTTGACTTTCTCATTTTCTAGTATTCAGAGGCTTCCTTGAACCACAATTATGTGTACTGCGTGTTCCAGCACGTTGAAAAGGGAATTTATGCTGCATGAGAATCAATTGAGCCTTCAAAATCTATGAATAACACAACTCGAAATGAATATTGGATCGGTGATCAGCTCCTAAGCCTGCAAACATGTACGCCCAGGATTGGGTGCATCAGGGACAGGATTAAGGATCATCCAAAGTCATCCGAGGTCACCTGACGTCATCTTAAACCTCGAGTGACCGTACATTTTTTGAAAGTTTCTATCCAACTTATCGAAAATTCACACGAGAACATGTGGGGTTTAAAAAACGCGTCGATATAATCCAATACTGCTGAATGGAGGAACATATCCATCCGTAGGCCTGTTTTGCTATTGGGTAACTGTAAGGTCATGTGACGTCATCGAAGGTCACCAAAGTTTTTTTTTGTTAATAGCTCCTTACAGGAACGAGATACAGACGCGCGGATGGTCTCATTGTGTTCAGCTCGCCAAGACGCATTGAATTATTTGCATGATGGCCTTGAGGTCATGTCACCTGATGTCAACCTTTGACCTTGACCTTTCGAGGTCAACACATATATGATTCGATGCGGATTGACTAGAGGATCACGATGGTGTCATTAGTTAGTTCATAGTTTTGGCTACTTCGAAAGTAAAGTAATTCGAGAAAAGCTTCATATCTAGCGCCGATATTTTGACTTTTTACCCTGTGACGTCATCTTTGACCTGACCTGAAAATAACCCCTGTAAAAATTTTAGGCCATGACCGCGCGTACCCCATGCCGTCTACTGCTTGTTGCTATCTTGATTCGTTCTCGAGATCTCAGAGGGGGGGCGGTCATCCGCCCCCCCCCCGTCGGTGCAAAGTTGGCACGGTCCCCCGTCGTTGCGCGGGTTCAGGCGTTGTTGCTATTGCACCAACCAATTTGTGATGTCAAAACTCCTGATTATGTAGGTAAATACAAACGCTTAACGGCCTCACTTCTGCTTTTGTGTAACAAAGAGCGAGCATAATCACGACCCTGTCATTGCCGCATTCTCTTTCTTTCAGGATTTTCGGCGCTTCTTGTGGGGTTCAAAAACGGCCAACAACCTCAACATTCAAAAACCATCCCCACAGGAGCAAGTCACTAAACCAACAGCACAAAAAAGCAGTTATTCAAGCTAAGATAAGACCAGACATTTTACGCCAGCAAGTGATGAGCGGCCAGACGTCGCGGCCGTCTCCAACAGGGACGGCCAAAAGGCCACACCACCGCCTTCCACGCTCCCTGACCTCTGGCTCTCGACGACCGACGACCCCTCTGCGGCGCGTGGCGCGTCCCCCTGCCGCTTTCCCCCGCCCTGGAGCTCTCACAGCCAGTCGCCGCCGCTCCCGCCAGCAGGTGCGACTCTCTGAGCGCGCACCGTCCTGGCTTGAAAAGCCCCCAGCCGCTAGTGAACTGGTCACTCTCTTTCTTCATTATTTGGCGAGGGGCCTGCCGGGGCTGTTCTCGTTTCCCTCACTGACGCCCATGGTTTTGACGGGGGCGGCTGAAAGGACTCAGCGGCTGGCACTTGATGCGCACAGCTTCGGAGAGCTCTTCGGTGGGTGGAGCGACACGAATGGCTACCACGACGGCATTATCTTGACCTTCCTGCGCCAGCGGGAGCACTTGCTGGACGCGGAGGTCGCCGGGGGTCTCGCCACCAGCCGTCAGTATCTAGTCGAGGCGATCGTCGAGCGTCTTAAGTCGGTGAAGTCAGCTGACGTCCATCGGCAGCGACGTTTGACGTCAGAGGTGTGGGTGCTGTCGATGACTCTGCAGTACCTTGACAACCTCCCACTCAGGCTGGTCCAGAGGGCTGCGGCGTAGGCGTCTAACCACTGATCTCTTAGCGTTTATACTTCAAGGAATATTATATTTGGTAACTTTTATAGCACAAGGATCTGACTATATTAACCCGCGACCTGGTGGGGGGGGCCATTTTTTGCCCCCCCCCCCCTCCAGACTTTTCGATATATCTCCAGAACCGCTGCGCCGATCGTCACCAAACTTTCAGTACCCTCCCGGACATCAATTGTACACATTGTGACCAAAAATTTTTCCAGAAGCTATGATAGGTTGGCCGAAAATGACGTCAGAGTGACGTCATGTTCTGCCGTTTTCGACCCAAAAAAGGGTTTCGCGGGAAGAGCTGTCAGGCCTATAGCTTTGCAAATACAGAAAAATGTTTAGGACATAAAAGCTGTAGAATTAACAGGGCTACAAAACTGCTATCTCGGATTTTTGATTTTTTTTTTATTTTGACCCCCAAAAATCAAAAAATAAATTTTTGGGATATAATAGTAAAAAAATCCAAAAAGTTTTTTGAATTTCGCAAAAACCGGAATATATGTGATAGTCCTTACCGCCTTCCATCCACATACAAAATTTTAGATTGATACCTCTTTTTTTGGCGAAGTTATAGCGAAAAAACTGTTCAAAATTGATGACGTCAAATTTTCAAACTCCATTTTTAGCAATTCTAGACCTCGTAGTGCAAAACAAAGACCATCATTAGACTCCCCGTGACGAGCTGCATCGAATCGATACCCTTTTTATGCAAAATTATCAACTTTGAAATTTGACCTTTTTTGACCTGACCTTGACCTGACCTCCACCAGAAAGTGACCTAAACCGTACCTAATGGTCTTATAACCAACACCATTGGGTTGGAAATGAAAAACTGGCCATAAAACATGCATCGCACAACCTTAGTAAAGTTGGGTTCATGTGGTGACCCTTGGTGACCTTTGGTGACCTGACCTGTGACCTGACCTGGTATGACCAGTGACCTCTAATAGCAACATAGGTACTAGACAACTGACGTCTTATCGCTGATTTTCGACAAAATGCGTTTTACTCGGTGTTATAGCGCTTTCCCTAGAAGCCCCGTGAACGGTGAAACATTTTATCTTTGACCTGACCTGTGACGTCATCGGTGACCCCGAGGTCAATAAAATTTGGTTTCCCTGGACAAATTTGACAGGGCTATCGAACGCCGTTTGAATTTTGCGGATCTGTCCAGTAGTTTTGGAGATACGAGGGGGGGCAAAAAATAGCCCCCCCCCCCCACCAGGTCGCGTTATAAACAGACCCCACCAGGGCGCGGGTTAAGTAACAGCATTCGTTCTCAACGGAACGATGTGCGACATGCAAGTATTCTGAGTAACATGTGTGGCAACTGGCAACATGCACACAGAGAAAAAATTACCCTTCTACGGGTAATTTTACCCTTATGAGTACCGGTATCCCGATTTCTCCAGATATTAAAACCCGGACAGAAATAATAATACACCATTTATTTTGGGTCCCTGTACACCTATGGTTCTTTTTACACACATTATAGCAAATGTACCTGGTATGGGTTTACAGTACCATGCAGATTCTGGTACCATTACCCAGAAGAGAGGGTACCTCTACCTAACAAACCAGAATCGGTCGTGTAGGGCTACTCTACCAGCATGTTTTTCTACTAGGGGAGACCCGGGAGGTATGGGCCGGTTTTGTGAAAACGCAATTTTCTTCCAGTGGGCAGTGGCTAGACCCGGTTTTTCACTCTTAGCACGTGAAATTGCCTTTCGCCTGCAAAGTGTGCCTGATATTAGGCATCTGGGATCAACTATTTTGTCTCGAGATAACTTTCAATAAATGATGTGCTTTTTCGATTCATCAAAATACACCGGGAGGTATGGGCCATGGCCCGGGAGGTATGGGCCGGTGCCATGTTTCATATTCTTTTCTCGACAATGAGAACAATACTCGTAGCTGGTATCTACCTTGATCTCTCTTAAGCCCGGTTCCGACTACGGTCACTTCAGGCCCAATCAGGCCAGATCAGGCCCAATCATTCCCAAAAAGGCTGAAAAAGGCGTTCGGCCTGACGACATGCCAGTGCGAACCGGAGCGGCTGATCCGGCCTGAACTGGCCTGATCGGACCTTCAGGCCAGATCAGGCCGAAGTTAACTTCAAGTCAACTTTTTGGGCCTGATCGGGCCTGACGCTGCGCCCGCCATTTTGAATTTGCATTGGCGCACATGCTACATTTCACGGTAAACGTGTTTTTTGTGTCACTTCTGCGAAACGAAGATACCATTTTTATTTTTGCAAATACACGCAAAAATAGATTCATCATGGATTAAGCACGAGACATTGCACATGATTTTTAGATGACTATTTTTGCCCTTGTTTTTGCCATTCATTTCGTCGGCATTTGGCATTTCATTCATTGAAGCCTACAGTTGTTACGGAAAATATGCCTAGCAGGTGGTAGTTGATTCAGATTATATTTCCAGTTAATTAACAAAAACACGGCCTGATGGCAGTTGACAAGGAGCTCTTGATACATACTGTTGCAAAATAACCATGGCTGTACGATAAAAGTCACGGGTCATATAAGGATAACATTAAAAAAACTAATTCTTGGCACGAGATCTCCAAAAACCTGAAGATCACAGAAGATGAGGCAAAGAAAGTATGGACTGATTTACGGAACTCATACCGGAAGATCCACGCTCGGGTGAAGGCCGGGGCGCCGAGCGGGTCAGGAGCAACTGACGCCGCCAAACATCAAGGCTCCCGATGGTGGCTATACGAGTCAATGGACGCGGTGCTCAGCCAACACATCCAGCCGAGCCGGCAAGGTGGCGACAGCATAATGGTAGCCGCAAAGAAAGACGCCCCAAGATCGGCACTCGACGTCGATTCCTCTGAGTACCGAATTCAATTACAGCGCCAATGGTCAGCTGCTTGTGGAAGAAGCGGGCCCAAGCCTGCAAGCCCAAGCCCAAGCAGGCAACCATGACTCACATGAGCCGTCGCTGCAATCACCGCACGAGGATGATAGCCAACTCTCTGAGCTGCAGCTCGAAAGGGACCACTCCCCGCCGTCGCCGCCGCTGCCACCCTCTGCTGAGATGCCGCAGTCGCTCCCGGCGGCGGCTGGCCGCAACTGCAACCAGTCGCCGTCGCCATCCGCCGCCGCACGTGGCCGACCTCCTGCCGCTGCCGACTCACGGACTGCTACCGGACCACGCGGTACAAAGCGAGCTCGCCAAGCGTCTCAAGAGGAATGGCAGGAGACCCTTGTTTCCTACTTGCGCACCAAGGAAGCTCGGCGGGACATATTTGATGCCCTGGGAAAAATCGTGGCAGACCGAACTCGCCGACGCCGTATGTCTCAGTGGAAAGCAAACTTAGCGCAGGTCAAAGTGATTGAGACGTTAAACATGATTGATGACATGTAGAGGCCATCTTTGACGGTTGGCTGTACTTGTTTTGTGTAATGCGCATTGCGTAGTGTGAACCACATGATTATCGCGTGTATTTTGCTTCTCACACTTTAGCAGGACATGCAGTTCGGCTATCAAATCTTAATATAACTGTTACGACTGGAACGTGCTTGTGTCAATCTTATTTGATAAAAATACAGCAGTACGGCAGTGCACAAAGATCAGAGTCGAATAAAACTTCATACATTAAATATTAGCCCCCTACATGTGTCCAATGAAAAAAAAAACAAAAACAAAACAAAGCAACGTCGGAGGCGGCAGCATCATTCACTCCCCATACACACACCACCCAGCACCCCGCTTATTCGGCCCAAGAGGGCCAGAGCTATAACGTCATGCGTTCAACGTGCCCTCGCATTTTCATATATTTACCCAATTTCCGGTGTTTCATGTCGCACAAACCGGACAGGATGAGATATTGGGACGATGGGCCCAGGACCAAACGGTTCGCCTATAAAAACACACACACAGCCGACCAGCCGAAACGGCCTGATCAGGCCGAGCGTCCGACGCTCAACTTTGGCCTGAACGCCTGATTGGGCCTGATCTGGCCTGATCTGGCCTGATGTGGCCTGATGTGGCCTGAAGCAACCTCATAGTCGGAACCGGGCTTTAGAGCCCAGGAACCGCATAAGCGGCCAACAGCTTACTTCATTGAGGTCGCTTGGGCACATATGTATTTTGGTAAACTCTATCATTCACCATGAAATAAAATAAATAATATTTTTCTCTTCGAATGAAATTTGAATTTAA